TTTTTTTCATATTCATATATCTCGATGTCAAAATGATCAATTAGATGGTTTTTCAACATTAAAACAACATTCTCCGATGGATTTTTGAAATACATATGTAATTCCACATTTTAAGGTTGCAACCTTATATAAACTTTTCCCTTGTATGTTTGAATGTACGTACTCTGTCTCAAACTCTATATTATATGCTTGAAAGCTTAAATGCGTAACCACATAAGCAAGTGGAATATTTACTTGGCCTTACCACATAAGCAATTCGAATGTTTACTTCACCATATTAATAAATATTTTGAAACTGTTAATCTACAAATGGAGAATAGGTTTGAGAATTGGGTCTTCACAATAAAGTTTGTCCTTTTTATGCAGTGGATTTGAACCGTTCATTTTGTTTGATATGTTGAGGATGACTTGCGTCTAAAAAATATTCATTATTGAAAAACCTGCTAATTCATCAGAAAAGGTTGTTTTAATGTTGAAAAACCTTTTAATTGATCATCTAAATATCGAGATATGAATATGAAAAAAAATATTTTCAATCCCAGAAATAATGCATCTTGCAACATATTATTTAGACCATCCGTTTTTAATATTTTTATATGTTTATCGGTCTACTTGATTTTAGCATTTTTGGAGTTTAAAATTTTATAATTAGATATGAAAATAGATTTTTCAGATAATCCTAAAAAAAAAATTCACCAAAATTAAATATTATAATAAAATTTGTAAGTGTGCTTTAATTGGATTGTTTAAGATTGCAGCCTTATAGAAACCACACCTTTAAAAAAAATGAATGAAAAGTTGCAATTAGATTATTTATAGATCTACATATTTCTAAACTTCTAAGCCTTCAAGAGTTCCTTAAAGTTCCATATAGGTTATCAAACACAATTATTGCCACTTTCATAAAGTTAAGGTTGGCGCCTTATGCAAGCTGCACCCAATCCCAATAGACTTTGGAGGAAGATATGATGCTTTCTAAAAAAAACAAAACAAACCTCCCGCCCAGAGGCGACACTAATAATCACATAAAGAATTACTATCGTTTACCTCTATGGGTAATGATGTAAGCTAAAAGTTTTTCTACTTCTATGAGAGTATATTATCCATTTACTCTCTCGTGCAAATCATAAGCTACGGATATTTTTTAGATTTCAAATTTTGGGGATATAATCTCTACAACCCATAGAATCAATTCAAAAAAATTTCCACACATACCCT